ATTTTTTTAATCATTATTTACTCAAAATCAATTTCTTATCCCGTAAGGTGATTTTAATAGCTTAGCCCCCATATCATCATTTCTTAAGTACGATAAAAAAATTGTTCCTTAGGAATGATAAATGCATCTTACCTAAAGAATGATAAAACTATCATTCCTTAGATATGATAATACCTTCGTCCCTAAAGAATGATAAAACAATCATCCCTAAGGAACGATAAATACATCTTATCTAAAGAACGATAAAACCATCGTTCCTAAGAAGCGATAAAACCATCGTTTCTAAGGAGCGATAAAACCATTGTTCCTAAGGAGCGATAAAACCATCATTCCTAAGGAGCGATAAAACCATCATTCCTAAGGAGCGATAAAACCATCATTCCTAAGAAGCGATAAAACCATCATTCCTAAAGAGCGATAAAACCATCATTCCTAAGGAGCGATAAAACCATTGTTCCTAAGGAATGATAAAACCATCGTTTCTAAGGAACGATAAAATCATCGTTTCTAAGGAATGATAAAATTATCGTTCTTAAGGAATGATAAAATCATCATTTCTAAGGAATGATAAAATTATCATTCCTTATGTACAATAAAACTATTATATCTAAGGAATGATAAAACTATCATTTCTTAGGTACGATAATACCATCATCCCTAAGGAACAATAAAACCATCATCCCTAAGAAACAATAATACCATCATTTCTTAGGAATGATAAATGCATCTTATTTAAAGAATGATAAAACTATTATTCCTTAGATACGATAATACCTTCGTTCTTAAGGAATGATAAAACAATCATCCCTAAGGAATGATAAATGCATCATTTCTTAGGAATAATAAAACCATCATCCCTAAGAAATAATAATATCATCATTTCTTAGGTACAATAAAATCTTTGTATTTAAGGAATGATAATACTATTATCATTCCTAAGAAATGATAATATCATCATTTCTTAGGTACAATAAAATCTTTGTATCTAAGGAATGATAATACTATCATCTCTAAGGAATGATAAATTCGTCGTACTTAAGGAATGATAATACTATCATTTTATAAGTACAATAATACTATCGTCTCTAAAGAACGATAAAATCGTCATACCTAAGGAATGATAATACCATCATCTTTAAGAAACGATAAAATCATCATACCTAAGGAAGGATAATACTATCATTCCTTAGGTATGATAAAACTATCATATCTAAGGAATGATAATACCATCGTTCCTTAGATATGATAAAACAATCATTTCTTAAGAACAATAAATGCATCATACCTAAGAAATGATAAAACCATCATTCCTTAGGTACGATAATACTATCATTGATAAAATAATCATTCCTAAGGAATGATAATATCATCGTTCTTTAGGTACAATAAAACTATTATTCCTTACACGTGTTTAAAGATGACAAACTGGCATATAATCTGGTATCAATATGTATCATTATTATACTTCGATTAGATGCCAGTTGGAGATTATTAGACCATATTGATAAATGCTAATTATGGTCAGATCATGACGGCAATCAGAATATAATAGGCCCTAATAAAATGGACTATTGGAGTTAGTTTATTATATCAATCATGGAAAATTGAATTATTAGAATTAGTATTAATAATAATTTCATTAAAAAATAAATTACAATCAGATCAATAGAGGATTTATCAAATTAAATTCAATCAGAAATCTGATTGATGCTAAACTTTTAATGTTTATAAATTCATTTATTCATTCGTATTGAAATTAGTTTATCTCACAGTATAAAATAAGTTAAGTTTTATACAAGTCAGAATATAGACGATTGTATCTAATTTATTCAGTTACTTTAAATAATTTATCTTATTGTTCAATAAGGATAATTAGAAATGTTCCAATTAAGGATGATTTATATATACTTTTTAAATAAAATATACTATTTAATAAATTTGTAAATTGATATTATATTATATAAATAGCAAACGTTATTCTAGCATACAATGAAATATTATAATTTATACATAAAAAAAACTTCTGCCAATAATTTATATAAAAATAGAATATTACTTTAATAAAATGAATACCTAGTTATATTTTTTAATGCTTATAATTATTATCCTCATTGGTCAGGTCTTATAGGAAGTGTATTTGATGATCGCTTTACATAAGCCTTTTATACAGCTGTCTTTAATGAATCTTTATATTCGTTAATAATCCATTTTGGAGTCTGAAATGGCTTTGATTGCTCCTTTCATAAAAATTGATGGAATCGTAAGCTTGAGATCACTTCTTTGGAACTTTAGATGACTCAGCAAATATACGATCAATATAATCATGTAAAAATGTTTATAACAACAAATAAAAATTAAAAATTAGAAAATTAGTTAATATCAGAATCTCAATCACATAATATTCATAATATTCATCATTAATCTTACTGTAACTAAGTGCCATTTTGTCTTTTACTACAATCTTCCTTTTATTAGAAGTGTCTTCTTCATCAGTCTCTGAAATTTCAGAAGAATGGTATATAGAATTATCATTAATTGGCTGAAGTTCATGATCTTTGAACATCTCGATTAGTGGATCATTAATTGCTTCTAAATGTTTAATAGTGTTAGCACGATTCCTTCGTTTCTATTATTATAATAAAATTAGTAAACAAAATAAAAAAAATATGCTTATTATTACTTATGTCATTTCTCCTACTATTTAAATGTTTTCGTCTTGCCTATTCATCTTGGTAGGCCAACGATCATTGTTTTTTAAGTATTCTTTTCATTAGTATTTATGTTTACTATGAAGCATTTCTGGAAATGTTTTCAAATCCAAAGCATTCATTATATAATATTCTTCTGATCTTTAAATATTTGATTTAGTTTCAATTGATCTTAAGTCAGTAATCTTTCGATTATCTAAAAAATCTGACGCTGAAAGGATATCGTTAATTATCTAGAGTGAAGCATAAAATATTAATGTATGTACATTGGTAAAATAAAATAACTTACTCTTAAAGCATCTCAGAGATCATTGGATAAGTTAATAGTATATAAGTATTTTGATCTACCATTATCCCAATTAGAACTTGAACTCGAAACTGACCGGAATTGAATTCTAAATCTTGTTAGACTTCGAAACCTTGTTAAACTTCAATATCTTGATTGGCTTTTATTCTCCTGTTGTACTCAGACCTGCGATTGATTTTAGAACTTAATTGGCTTCGACTTCAGTCTTGTTATACTTGAAGCTAATTTTGACTTTTTGCCTTATAGTTTATATCAGATTGATCTGGTGATAAAATATTTTCCAATTCCAGTTTCTTCATTTTGCTTTGTAGGAATTCTTTAAATAGTTCTTGAATATTGTCATCTTATAAAAGTGAAGCAAATCAATCTAAAATATATGTTCATCATATATAATATAATATAAATACTGGTAAAAGATAACAAAACTTATCCTCATCAGCTTATTTCTCTTTCTCCTTTGCCTTATCATTACCTCTTTTACGATGTTCCTTTGAAGATGATTCATCATCTTCATCATCTAATTCTAAAGAATTAGACGATAAAGACCTATACTGATAATTATAATTAATTACATGATGAATAAAATGAAAAATAATATCGTTATTGTAGCTTGCCAGTTACAATTGAAACTCTTTCTTTTATTTATATCATAACTTGAACTTCCATTTTTATCATAACTTAGACTTCTATCTTTATTATAACTTGAACTTATATCTCTATCATAATTTAACCGTCTATTTCTATCATGCCTATCTCTAACATGCCATCTATCTATCTCTTCTTGACTGAGACCTATTTCAGTTATGTTCAAAACAAGTACTCCTACCAGAAGTCATAATAAATAATAGATAATATCTGTATTATGGTATGTATTTTAAAAGTGTAAAGTAATTTTGTTCTCTTTTTTAAAGTTGCTCTGAAGTTAGTCCTTTTTATATCTATCAAAATTGATCTAAAAGTATATCAGTAAATATACTTTTTTTTTGGTATAAAGTATCATTCATGATTTTTTGCTTAATCAACTGTTCTATATTTATATATATCTCTACTAAAAAATTACAATAATAAACTTCGGTAATAAGGCTTGATCACAAAATTTACAATAATAGTAAAGTTTTCAAATTTAAATAATTAATTGGATAGATTATATAACTGGTGCATTCAACTCTTTTCAATAATCTTTATATTTTTAAAATGTCCAAATGATCAAAGAAGCAAAAATCAATTCAAGAAAAATATGTAACTAAAAAAGCTACAAAAATTCGACCAAAAGTACCATGTGATTGCAAATATGTAATAGTAAACTTGTTAACACAAGAACCAAAAATAAGCATGAAATAAAAGAGAAACAGCTTCAAGATGCAATCTTTAAAATGGGTAAAAACAAAAGCAAAGAAAATCACAATAGATCTAATTCAGTTGAAATTCAATCCATGGATATCGATTCTTCTCAAAATCTTCACGAAGATGATGCAATAATTGACAATGATTATGATCAATCTGATGAAAAGTCTTTTATTAAAAATCTAGCTTCTGTCAAAAAAAGTGAAGAAGATATGATAAATTTCATATAACTGATAATATTAACATCTTTCCAGATGAAGAACCTAAACAGGATGATTCATTTAGTGATGAAGAGAGTTCTCGATCATTTGATGACAATCAAACTTTAGATGATGAATTATTCTCAGACGATGATGAGTTATTTGCAACTCCTGTTAATCTTGATTATTATTCAGATCAGGATAATTCTATTATGAATATTAGCAAAACTAATTCATGGATTCTTTGGATCTTTAAATTCCAAGAAAAGTTTAAACTTCCCAATGTTTTAATTAATTCGTTGATTGGTTTCTTTAGCCTTGTTTTAAAAGATATTGATCTATATTGGTTTAAAGAATTTTCTTCAACCATCTATATGGCCAGAAAGTTATTAAATATAAGGAAAAAATCAAAATCTTTTGTCACTTGTACTGATTGTAACAAGTTGTATGATATTGCATCAATAATTCCAAAAAATTCAGATAGTAATGCAACTATAGGATTCAAATGCACACATATTGAATTTCTAAACCATCCTATGCAAAGTTATCGTAAATCCTGTGATTCAGAATTACTCGTAAAGATCTCAGTAAAATAATGGATACATATGGCGTCTAAAGATGATATTTCAATTGCTATGCTTAAAAACTCAACTATTCTCGATGTATCAAAGACCAGGTTTCAAAGAACTTTTGAAAAAATAGACCAATCGAAATGTTACTGAGTTAATATCTGATATCTATAATGGTGAAGTTTGGAAAAATTTCTCATCACGTTTGGATATTTTAGACCCTCCCAATTTCTTTACAGCTGAAATGGCTAATTCACATTTGGGAATCATGATCAACCTAGACTGGTTTTAGCCATTTGAATCATCTGTCTATAGTTGTAGAGCAATTTATAGAGTAATTTGTAACTTACCTCGTAAATTAGATTTAAAAAGAAAAATATGCTTACATTGGGTTTATTATTAGGATCACATGAAGTTAAGCTTCATAAAATCAACCACTATCTTATACCGATAATAGACAAATTGATTGGGTTTTAGGAAAATGGTTTTAATTTGACTTTGACCAATGAATGTCTTAATAGCAAAAAAATCTGACTAGCAGTTATATACTGCTCTAGTGACATTCCAGCTGCAAGGAAATTATATGGCCATATATCTGCTCTAGTTGGGTGTCACAGATGTTATAAAAGGGCAAGTGGCGAAGAAGGTCAAAAACTCGAATTTTGGAGGATTCAATAATATGGATGAGTGGTTTAAAATGAAAAATGTTAAAGAACATCGATGTGATGCTTTAATTTGGAAACATCAACAAATAAAAGAAGCTCAGAAGAATCATATTAGTAGAACTCTTGTCCGAGTGTCTGAACTACTCTGATTACTATACTATAATCCAATAAGGCATTTAGTTGTAGATCTGATGCACAACTTCTTTTTAGATATTGCTCATTAGATCATAAAAAAACTTTGGATTGATAGTGGTAAAATAACTAAACCTGATCTAAAACTGATAGAAAAATGAGTAAAACAAATTAAAGTTCTTGCAAACTTGGGTAGAATCTCTTATAAAATAGCAATTGGGTAGGGCTTTTCAGAATACACGGCAGATTAATGAAAATCATTTATTATAGTGTATGCAATTCCTTTGATGTGAGATCTTTTAGATGAAGACGATCAAAAGATTTTAACAAATTTTGTCAGAGCATGCTTCTTATTAATATCATGTATTATTGATGATAATATGTTAAATGAAGCATATATCTGTTTGCTATCTGTTGCTCAATTAGTTGAAGAAAACTATGGATCAGAATTCATCACTCCAAATATTCATCTTTCTCTTCATCTATCTGAATATTGTTGAGATTACAGACCAATATATTTGTTCTGGTACTACTTATTTAAAAGAATGAATGATAATTTAGATAAGTTAGATGTCGAATTTTTTTTTGTTACAAAAAAAGAAAAATTTTATTAAACTGGTTGTATCCTTAGGTTTATTCCGAATAGTCATCACCAAATTGAACTAGAATTATTGCGAATAATAATGCAAAATTGGTGAATTGATGATCTTTTATCAGCTCAATCAAATAATATGAAGCTTATCGAAAGGTTAAAATTAATATAACCACGGGCAACATCAGAAAGTTTAGCAAGTTATGATAATTTTGAATCTGACGAACTTGTTCGATTTAGGCAAATTTATTATCTAAAGGTCAAAAATATGATTACTGGTACTGAACCTTTCCTTAGTGTGATAATGTATCCTAAAAAAATCAATGTTAGTTTGCTAGATAACATATATTCACTTTTAGTGGATTATTACAACGTAGCTTATGGTGAAGACTTGGATTTTTTTTAATTGTGAAAGCATTTCAAAATCTGATACGCTCTATCTGTAGAATTGTTGTACAACCCTGAATAAATCAGTTCAGGCGTATTCAAATTGGAGCTAAAATTTTCAGATCTGCTATTGCATCTTGATTTTTTAAAAATTTGTTTATTCTTGCAAAATTCGTGCAAGAAAATGGTTCAGTTAAAATATATCCTAATCAAGTCCAATACTTCTTTGAACATAAAGTTAAACTTCTGAGTAGAAAAGTATGTCATAATTTGGCTTTTATTAAATGGTATAAATCAGTTTTAACTCACTAGATGAGATTTCACTTCCAAGTTAATAATGATATTCAATGTAATGTAGAAATCTAGTTTGATACTTTTATAATATCAGTAGAGACTGTATTATACCAGTACATAATATATTTAGACGATTTGTACCAAGTGAATATGAAATAAGAAAAAGAAATCCAGTCACGTATATGGCTGTTATTCTTATAGAAAGAAAATTTCACATTTAACATAAATTTACATTATTTACATTTATTTGTATTTTCCATTTACAGACCCCGCCAAAAGTCTCCGAACGCTTTTGGCTCAATGTAAAACTTAAAATTTTAAAGTTTATTAAAAAAATTTATTAA